AAACCCATGTCTAATACCGGACATGCTTGAGAGATGCTCCATCTATGTTCACTGAAGCCTCATCAGAACTGGTGTCCATAGAAGGGTGGCTGTGAAGAAGCCATTCTTAAGGAAGGGAAATGGGGAGAAAAGGCTGGGGCATGCCACATTACACAAGAACTGAAACGAAAGAGGAAATTCTTTAGGTTTAAATCAATATGTGCCGAGGTCGTCACTGTATATGACAGTGTGTGTATACAGCCAGCTATGAAACACAGTCGTGGTTTCCGTCAAAGGTTTTGGAGATCTAGTCAAATTTGATGGAATTTACGTCATCTGTAAAGTGTCTGATTGACAGTGACTATCCATACCTGGATAGAAAAACGCACAGTGGAACACAATCATGGATTGCCCTTGTTTTTACTGTACTTAAATGCATGTTTGCACATTTCAATAAATCCCATTTCCCACTTTTCCAGCAAAATACAGAGAAGCAAGAGTACAAAGAGAAACGTCTAAATGAAGTGAAAATTATCTGATGGTGTGAAATGGAGTACAGGACACTGGTTTTCTTTCTTCAAGTTTTATTTCCATTATGATTTTATTCAAAGAACTGGATAAATAGCACAAAAGTGCAAAACCCAGCATAATGGACAACTCTCACATAAAATAAATACAGCACCTTTTCAGCATCACTAAAATATTCTCAATATCCAGAAGTAATAAATACTGAATTTACCAAGATGTTCAGTCTTGATTTACAAAACACAAAGACAACACACAATAAAGTTTTGTGTCATACCAAACTTTTTTTGGAACTGTTTCCGTAATCTTTTTGTTTCACAATTTGCATACTTGCACATACAAACATCTACAGTTTCTACACACAGTACACTGAATCTTGAATTGAACTCACATTTAGAGTAGAACTTTTTATCAGATAATAAAACAGCTCAGAGTCAAACTAAAGAAAGCAAACAGAAACGCCATCGCTCCAACTACAGTGATGGATCCTTGCAGTTCTCTGCAGATGCGGGAGGTGTTTCTCCCACACTTTTTAAAAGACTGCCGTCATTAAGGGGAAGTCGTATCAGGCTGGTGTTTGCTTTATTTTGACCGCACCCAATATCTCTGCCTTCCTTTATGGATAAAACTCAAATCAGCAACTCTTTTTATAGTTTATACATGTATATCTATATATATATATATATTTATTTATATTTATATAGAATGAAATTCTACACGTAGCAACATTAATCCGTAAACTTTTACAGTTTGGACAGGAGCTTCAAGTTGACAGAGGGCGCTCTTTTGATGAGTTTAAACCCGTGGTCCTTTTGAGTTTGACTTGATTACTTAAACCTCCCCCTTTAATACAGACTCACATAAACAAACAAGTTTATGTCAAATTACACTTTTCATGCACTTCACATTGAAAGTGTCCTTCCCTTTCCAGCCAAAGCTTATCTTCAAGATCACAAGCAACCTCCTCAGAAATTCAAGCATGTATATTCACATATATATATAATAAAAACAAAAAAGGTTACCTGGTTCCAAGGTAAACAAGGAGCACAGTCACCACTAACTCACTTTCAGAACACATACTCGAGTTTCACCAGTTTTCACCCCACTTTGATTAAGAACAATCACTGCAAGCAACAAATCTATGTCATCATACGACAATGAAAACACTAGTTCTTGCTTTGGACAAAAACAGCTGGCATACAGGACGTCCAAGAAAGTCAGACAATACGATAACGAACATGCGTTACAGTCGTTTGAATACAGAAGGTTTAGGGGGTGAAGCCGTCTTTATGAATTTAAGATGCGATCCCTTTCTCTTTTTTTCCCTTTTCTGCGTGTTTCTAAAACTGAGGAGCAGACTGTGTGTTATTTCTGGCTGCCTTTCAAGGGACTTGTTTCAAAGGCTGTGTCAGCAAAAGAGCACCCGAGTCTGTTATGAAGAACGACACACTGATTTCTACACTGCATATATAGGTCTTTTTTTTTTCTTTTCATAGTGTAAATGTATTCCGTGGTCCCCAACTGAGCTGTAATCATCACAGGGATGAAAACAGAATCGCAACAGAAAAAAGTAGAAAAATATGTGACAGACGATTTAGTCAGCAGACGCACACAGACACACATACATCCAAACAGTCTTTCCAACAGGAACAAGATGGGACAAATCAGTTCATTAAACACATACATCTTTGTACACAAACAGCAAACAACGGAGGGGTGTACTACAAAGGAAGTTAAACATAGCCAGGCTTTCTTTGGCTTAAGCCCCATCTGGAGATAATGTGTATCATAATGGAGGTTATCAACTTTCTCTGGTAAGCTGGGCTTTCCGCTTCATGGTCTTTGTGCACTCATAAACATAAAAAGGGGGGTTTTACAGGTACAGCTCTTCTTCTGCACAAAATGATACCTATGAGTGTCCTCCCTACTCCAATCATAAACGTTATCAGATCATTATGACAAACTGATGAATTTTAGCTTGACGTAGCTTGCTAATGTGCTAATCTCGCCCTGACCTTGTAGTACACCCCTCAGGTATGATCCTCAGCATGTAGATTTGAAGAAAGATTTCAAAGAAATAGGTTTTAGAGATAGTATCATTTGCATTCTTTAGTGAGAAGATAATGTTCTCATGTCTTTATATGCTGAATATGAAGCTACAGCTGGCAGGCAGTTAGCTTAGCTTAGCTTAGCTTAGCTTAGCTTAGTTTAACAGGAGAAACAGCAAAGCCAGTGTAGCTGTTCCCCATCATGTCCAGGCCTTTTTGCTAAGCTAAGCTACCATAAGTGAACAAGGGTATTTGTTTACTATAGAGGGGGCTGATAACAGCACTAACACACACATACACACAATCCAGAGGACGTTTTTCGGTCAAAATGTCACACTCTCTCACTGATTGTCAGCACACAAATAGTACACAAAATACTGTCATATGTTTACAGAATGAAGGTGTACACAATCAGCTTCGCTTTAAGGGTGATTCTGATTCTTGAGATGAGGTCACAGCAGGTTTTTACATGTAAACTAAGAGCCTGCGTACCCTTAAAGACGAAAGAAATAAAAATGAGTTACAAATTTTCATCTTTTCCCAGCGGGAATGGACGCAGTGAAGGAATGTCTGATCAGGAGCCCTTAAAATAAAATTATATTCTTGTTTCTCTTGCCACACTGTCTAATTGTTCACTTTTTTAACAGCTTCTTTTCCCATTTGATTTGTGCTTATGATGCAGTTTTTCTTGGGTAAATGAAGACTGCTTTGTTTGCGTGTTTTGATCCCCAACAAAAAAAATACAGCAAACAAAAGAACTAAATCAGTCTCCTTTCGTTGTTTCGACTTCAAGAATTAGCTTTCCCATTCAATCAGATAACTTATGTTCTGACTAATTCTCATATGGATTGGAGGTGAACTACACTACATGTACAATAAGGATAACAGGGATCTAAATTCTTAAAAGCCAGGGTTTTGGTTCATATGTTGCTTTTCCTTTAGAGTGGATGAATAAGATAATAATAATGGAGATATAATTGATTTTACCGCAGGCCTGATTGCTTTATCCTGAAGGGATCATGAAGAAAAAATAAAGAAAACTGAAATTATTACTACAATGTTGATTCCTGTCCTTGTCCTTGAGACCCGGAGGAGACACAAACCCAGCCTCAGCATCCGGTGTAAAATCTGTGCCAGATCAAACGTGCAGATCCATCTGGTGTGGGAAACAAGGTAGCCGCTGAAAGTACCGCACAAACATTGTGCTGTTTATTAGTTATCTGAACAAGCCTTAAACATTACACCTTTTACAGGCATTAGCAAGGGCACTGAGAAGATGCTTTTGTGGCAGGATACTGTGGGTGTTTACGTGGAGATTTCAGGCTAGTTTTTACAATAGTTACACCTCTAAGGTACCTTGATAATGTGTGGCCACACTGCTTATTCAAACCGCTGCTGGACAAGTAAAATTCCCACTGACGCAAATGACACTGTCATTTGCATGAAACACAGAGATGTAAATGAATAAATCAGAGTACAAACAAAAACATGTGCACACACACACATACACACACCACTAATTTAGGCAAATACCACAAGTATCTGCTCTCACAGTTTAGCACTTGACCAAAATCCGTCCCACAGACGTTCCTCGAAATCATCATCAAACTGCCACACGACACGGAGGGAAAACATCAGCTTTGACACCAAACACAGAGGAACTGGATCAAACTATTCCCATTTACAACAGAGAATCCTGTGAAATGCGTCTTCGCCTGCCTGCATTTCGAGGCTCTGAGCAGAGAACTGGAATTACTCAGGGAGAGAAAAAGCACCTCGGCTCTCTGTGTCTGAGTAACAGCAGCCTCACTGGAATGTTTTAACAATATTTGGTAGAGAATAACAGCGGTCAGCAGGTCAGGCTTCAGTAGGAGGCAGTGATCGAGGGTCATGGGAAAGTTTTTTTTGTTTTTTAACAGAAAATATGTTCACCCTGAAATTCATTTTGAGAACTTTTGCAAGCAAGTCTATGAGCAACAGTCTGGATGCAAATGTAAACTGAACTGTTCCAGTAACGTCACAGCACATTAAACAGAGGCACTGGACGCCAGTCACTGAGGTCGAGGACAGACGAGAAAGAAAAACGGAAAACTCACCACATACACTGACTAAATCATTCTCGTTCCTTCAGAAATGGCTTTTTTAAATCAGTTTCCTCTCATCATGTGATCGTTCTGTGTCACTGAGCATCTGTGGGAGCACATTATCACCCTCTAAGAGTGGCTCTTCCATAAGATATCTGATTCTTTTTCTGAATATTTTGAATACCTGACAAAGCAGCGGAAATTAAGTGATCATAAATATAACATCATCTTTTTCTACCTCTGTGTGTTCTCCTCTTTGAATGATGCAATCCACATTTCAAAGGATTCTGGGCTTACAATGGGGATGGCAGTCTGTTTTTGTTGGTATGTGACAGCAGAGCTGAAGCTCTCAGGGATGTTGTTAGTTGTTAAACACGCCAGCTGGACTCTGCTGCCCTCTGCTGGTCGTCGGCTTTACTGCAACACTTGGCCTCTCGTTTCGGGCAACTTTGTGGCAAGGAAACTGCCGGCGGCGAGGGCGCCGGCCGCAAATAGGATGGGTATGGCCTTGGTGATGCCCACAAATGACTGGAAGATGCTGATCCCCAGCACGGCCGCCAGTTTACAGAGGGCGTTCAGGAAGCCGAACGCTGTGGTCCTGGAGACAAGAAGAGAGGGACACACAGACAAGAACGCACACACACGGTAAGGAGGGTTTTTAACAGTATTTATCACTCACTGTTTCATATTTGACCTATTACGGCCATATTTAAGATAATCAAAGTGAAAAAAAACTTTCCTCTTTCTCACACACAACTACACTTTTATATGAATCCCACCAGGACATGACATGAAGAGCCTCTAGAGGAGGACTGGCCAACACCGATTCTGCTAATAAATTTTATTGACATAATTTCTAAGTGAAGCCAAGCGGATGAGGGTTTCCAGTTTTGCGGCCCCAGAATCATCTCTCCAATCCCTGCATATGAAGTGGTTTATCTGGCTTCATCAAGGGGTGGCCTCCAGCATGCAGTGGCTCGGTTTGTCGCAAAATGTGAAGCGGCAGGAATGAGAACTGGTACCTCCAAATCCACAACCAGGACCCACCCAGGGCAGAGGATGGATGTTAAAAGAAAACATATTGTTAAAGACCTTGAATAAATGCGCATTTGGGTTAATATGGTGGTCTTAGAAGCAACTTTTGCCATCCACAGCAGATTTGTTGGTAAAAATTCTGGTATCACTCAGCAGAAACGAGTCCACCTCTATAAAGATCCTTCTCTCTCCAGAAAAGAAACTACAAATAAAAATTTAAATTCTTAAGGGATAACAACCCTGAAATGACACTTTTGGACGGCATTTATAACAACACAAAATGAGTGAAAGTGCAACCAGACAGACAGTATTACTCTCTGTCAGAAAACAGAAACCTCAGCAGTAGTAGAAACATCTGCTCTCGTGTTACCTTTTATCCGAGGGGTAGAGCTCCACTGTTATCACATCCAGGGCGTTCCACGAGGCGATGCTGATGCCACCAAATAGACATAAGAGGGCGATCATCCCCGACTCGGTGTTTCCAAACATCAGGAAGAAGCAGCTGACACATGATATGACGCTGGACCCGGCTATGTAAAAAGAGGGAGCAGTAGTTACGTTAAACCGAGTCGCCTCTGCATTCATAACTGAATCCTCCACCCAGATTAGACTAACCTACCCAGCATCCTTAACCGCCCAATTTTATCCATTAATAGAGCCGAGACGATGTTGCCAGGCAACACCGCCAGGGTGCCGAGAAAGTTGACAAAGTAGATCATGTAGGCATTGTTGAAGTCGTCGCTGAAGTCGAGCATGCAGCCCTCCTTGTTGTGGAGAAACGTGCTGTTGACCAGTTTGCAGTTGACGAGTCTGTATTTGAATAAATCTGAAGGCGTAAAAGGAGGGAAAAAATTTGAAAATTATTAAATAACTTCATAAATTTGTGAACATCTGTGATTTCCACTGGGTAAAGAGGCTCTCCTCAGCTGAAAGAAACTCCTCTGCATGTTTCTCCTCTGATTTAAAGAAGACAAGCTAAGTAAAAGATACAACCTTAACTTTTTGTTTAGAGCATAAAAAATATAAAAGATTTACGCCACGTTCCGAAGAATGTCTGACCCAATCCAAACCAAATAAAAGATCAGTTTTCCTCAAACTGGGAAGGAGGGGATTAAATAATCCCTTAGCAAAAGAAGCCAGAACATTACAGCAGCCACCACACAAGCATCTGTTTTTAATAGGGGCAAAACACGAAAGCAGCATCCAGGACAGCATCTCCCATCGTCACAAAAACGACAGCAAAGGTCAGGAGACATTTCTGTAGGAGATAAAGGGGATTAGTTCTGACAGGCTTCTTAATCAATAACAGTTTCATTAAACGGAGTCTGCAATAAAAGTGCTGAACGATCGTAAAATTTTAGATGCACAAATGACACAAACATAAAAGAATGCGTTGCTGGCTTCATCTGGGAGAAAGCTCCAGCTGCCGTAAAAGCTGCAGAAGAACTGAAGCTGAATAAATCTGCCACAGCTTGAGACGGATAGCCGCAGTATGCTAGCAGAGGAACCGTTTCTCTTTAGTTTCTCACATGTTTCCCAGGTCTGAATGTGACGTGCTGATTTAAAGCACAATCGGAAATCCAAACCACACGCGGCTCAGTTGCTTTTTAAACGATTTGGTCTCCGCACACGGGGAATTTCTGGTTCTGATCAGCCATTCAGCACATTCTTACATCTGTTTTATTCTTCCTGACAGGGTGCTGTTGTACAGACAGCCCGATCACTCGCACCGTGTCATGCCTTTTGTTTTGACTTTAAGATGAAATGTAAGCATTTCTCACATAATTTATCTGTCAGGTGAAACCATCAGCTAAATGAACAGAGAATTAGATAGATAGATAGATAGATAGATAGATAGATAGATAGATAGATAGATAGATAGATAGATAGATAGATAGAGAGGCTGCCCGACCATGGTGAGCCACGCCGTGAAGCTCCTGGTGAACAGATTTGGTGCTGATGTTAATGACTTTTAAGCACTCTGTGTCTCAGCACTCGATGACCCCACACTATAACTTCATACCACCTCCTAAATGCTTCCACTTTGCTTTGCTTAATTTTACACACCGGTGGCAACAAGACTAAAAGCACCTGAATTCACAGATTAAGAGATGTGGAATGCCATATAGTGCATGATCTGCTACGTACCTATGGAAAGCCATGGAAAGCAAGTTTATAATGTTCATTAGTGCTCCTGCACACGAGGAGTCATATTTACCTGTGTTATAAAACAAGCTGGCAATGAAGGTGCAGTTTCTAAAGAAGGTGTGCGTGGATGTGATGTCCTCAAAGTAGCACTCTTCAAACACGGAGTCTTCAAAAACCATGGACTTCATCTTCAGGTTAAGGAATCTGTGATCAGGAACATTTTTTTATTGCATATTTTAAAAAACAATATTCTCTACTTTGACATTAAAGTAATTAATGTTGCCCTGAAACAAAAATTACTTGTCGTTGAAGTAGTATCCTTGGCGATGCACTTGGTTTTCCAAGGTGAAGTTAAACGTGACGTGCTCCACTCGCTCCTTAGTGAAGGTCTTCGTGCGCGATTCATATTCCTGCTTCTGGATGTACTTGATCATGTCCGGAAACCACACGGTTAGACCGTAGTAGCTGGAAAGTTGTGGGAGTCAAGAGAGATTAAATAAGCCCCAAACGGAGCACGAGAAACAGTAGACAGCAAGGAGGTTTTCTTTTTTTTAGATTACCTGAACGACATAGAAAACCAAACAGCCATGAGCATGAAGGTCGTCCGTTTATATTCTGGCCTGAAGCAGGCAAGGATGTTATTCCGTATCTGCAACAAGTGAACACGGAGAAACACAAGAGCAAAGCTCATGAACAAAAAACCTGAAAGCGACATGACAGCGGCTTCAACATGAAAGAAGAAAACGCTGCTTCAACTCTCTCATTGTTCAAACTTTTTCTTGTAGTGGGCATTAAGCAGGCATTAAGCAGCAGCGCGTAGGCGTGTGTGTGCGTAGGAGAACGTAGGCTGCGTGCAAATTCAAATCAGGCAAACAGCCTGGTGAAGGATTTTTTTGCCCAGAGCATAAAAGCCCAGTGCAACAACATGCTGCTGAAGTTTAAACACATCAAAGCCAAAAAATCCACACAATACCTCAAAAATGCATCATCTTTGTGTGCCGAGTGTTATCACAGAACTTGAATTTGGGAGAAACTTTGCAGGCGGACAGGTCAATAAATGCTCAAGCAAGTAGCTTATTATCCCTTTAATATACTCAAAAAAAATCAAAGACAAACTAAAGGAAAAGACATAATATTTTAGCTACACTTGGATTTACTTCCACCTGTGCTTGCATGCACATTGCTTTCATCCACTGAGGCGTTTTAATGCCAGCCCTGAGTTGTAAAACACCTCAGCTTCAGCACTCTTGAAAATAACTGTAATTTTGAGGAAGCTGTGATCTTGGGTGGGTGCCGGAGGGGGCCTTTTTTATTTCACACTGTTAAAGCTTGGCCCTTTAGTTACTGCTTTTGCTCACAAAATCCAAAATACCAAATTTCCTGGTTACTCAAAAAAAAACCAACCAGTTTAGAAGAACAACATTTGTAGGCTGGACAAAATGTATGTAAACTGTATTTTTTAATTAACTTTACTCACCTGTTGGGAGAGGCTCATAATCTTCAGTCTGTAGCGCTGCCAAGCAGGCGTGTCGGTGCCAACGTCCACCAGCTCATCCATCTGCTTCACAGTTTTGATTGTGGTGACCTTGGACCAAAGTCACAAAAGTCAAATTAGAGATGACTTTGGCTCAAAAATAATGTAACTGCTGCAAGAGACTTTCTGAAAAAGAGGCTCTGAAAGTCACCACCAGATATTACAGAGACATTGACTGTAATAACGTTTACTGTTAATCATAAGCCTGATGAACATCTCTGTAATGGGTAAAGCATCTTTAAATGGACTGGGAGCTGTTACAACAATGTATTTATTCTGTTCCTGTTCTCATGACTTGTTTAACCGGAATACATATTGTGGGAAATCACACATTTGTATGATTTGTGGGTCGATTTTAATAGGTTTTATCTCAACAGGAAGTAAAGAAGCAAATCCTTGGAGCTTATCTCGAAGATGATTTACAAGCAGTTCAAAATACTTGTAATAATGTAAAGTTTGTGTGTGAATGTGTGTGTGAATGGGTGGATGACTGAATGTAGTGTAAAGCGCTTTGGGGTCCTATGGACTAGAAAAGCGCTATACAAATGCAGGCCATTTACCATTTTGTCCATCAAGCATCAACTGAAACCAAATACTGCAGTTCCTCAAATAGCCACTAGAGGCTCACTCCCGTTCCCTTAGAACAGCGCGTGCCCCCTCCAACCACACCCATATTTTGTTTTCAAACTTGATTGCAGTTTATTCCACACCCCACAATAAAATAAACCACGAAACAAACTATCTTTATGGTGTAATTATTTTACGTATAGTTGTTTTTTTTATTTTACTGTTTAAAAATATTCAACACTGGTATCAATACATTTTTCAAAAAAATGTCTCTCTGTGCAAAATGGGTTTAAAAACTGTGATAATGTTTGTTTGTTTGTTATTATTTGTATCCCACTGTAAATTTACTGTATAAAGAGCTAAAATTGCCAAAATTTCATTATAAGAAGTGTTTGTGAACTTAAAATCAAGAATGTGGGATACTGTTTGTCCGTGATCCCAGCACGTGCTCCCGAACCGGGGGAAACAAATTCTTTTGGGGGTACCTACCTTTGCACCGCCGTTGTGCAGGTGAAGCCAAAGGCAAGATATGCTTCATCATATTTTCTAGTCTTTAGCTCGGAAGGAAGTTGGTTTGCAAGCATATTTGGCGATGGTTCATCCTCTGCTCTGTGTTTGTGTGGGATCCCGGTCAAGAAACCTGTCCATTATGCTAGCAGTGTCCAAGCATTCTTTCATTTATTTATTTATTTTATTCATAACTCGCCACCCCCCTGCAATGGCTCTGCGCCCCCCTTTACTAACATGCTATCCCCCTCCCCCCCAGGAGGCGTGCCCCTACTTTGGGAACCACTGCCTTAAATCCACATTTCAGAAATGGCCAAGTTTACATTTACAGCTTTCTACATAAAATACTTTGAACTTATCTACATCATATCCTAATGTCCTAATGACCCATCTGCAGTTAAACTGAGAAATGTGCAACACAAGCCAGAAAGGAAGATGTTATTCAAAGTAAAAGTAGCGCCTCATAAAACTTGTTGGCTGTAGCCCTGATGTAAACCTTCTCCATGTCCTTTCTGCATTACTAGTTATCAAGTTGTACCACAGCTAAGCTAGTAGTCTGCAAGTATTTGCAGACAAACATGAAAAGCTACAGGTAAACAACCTGTTACCAAGGCAATTCCTGAGAGGTGTTCGGTGCAGCATCTTCATTTGAACTGATTTCACCCAGCAAGAGGTAGCAACCTCCAGGAACCACTGCTGACCAGCTGGGTATTTCACATTTCCATAGCAACCAGAGGGTGTATCACATCCAACATGGCAGGCAACTCTTGAGCAATGTGTGCATGATGTCATGTGACAAACAAACCTGTGTTAATACATCTTCTGCACCGGTTAAATTTGAGGCCACAAACCAGTGGGTGATGTCATAGTGGTTACATCAGTCCTTTATATACTCTGTGGTTTTCATTGCATCACATAGCAGCAAGTTTCCTTTGCACAAGTCATCGGCTCTGATCCAAAGTCAGTGTGTCTTTTTGTTCAGCTTACTCCAAACTAGGGGCGTAACCCCAGGCAGCCAATGGGTATCTGACCAGAGACCCCGTCTGTTCTCCCTCTCCCACACTTCCCTCTGTTGTGAGCGCTCTGAGAGATTTACATTGCTGTTTTTTCACTGATACTTACAGAAAACACCCTCTCTGGGTATCCCTTTGCTCGCATGTTTGTGTCGTGAACTTGCTTCAGAACCATCCAGCCTTCGTCATGTTTGCCATTCTGTTAAAGATGGCATGGATTTAATAATGAGAAACATATCAGCAGCTATTACTGTAAGACAAAGACTTAACTGTTTAAACAAGCACATCTGCTAACCTCTAAGTAGAAGCGTGGGCTCTCTGGCATGGCGTTAAGGGCAGCGATGGCTGCAACTGACGGAAAAGCGCACACTAGCACAAACACGCGCCAGCTATGGAACTGATACGCCGAGCCCATCTGGAAACTCCATCCTGAAAGGAAAAAGCAAGCCAACACAAAGAAGTGAGCACACATTTCCAAATAGTTAACCTTCAGTGCAGTGAAAATAACATGTTTTTAAAACTCACTATGAAGCATGTTCTCAAACAGAATTTAGAGGTCAGAGGTCACCCTCAGTGCACGGTTTCTGGGCAGATCACTTTCTAGCAAACAAAGTCAGCTTACGTTTTACCCTCGAGCTTTTCAACTGACTGACAAATCTCCAAAAATATTAACATCTTGGTGGGATTTTCATACGTAATAATAATTGTAAAATAAAGAGATTGTAATATAATATTTAGAGAGCTTTATTTGTATCTCATGGGCATTTGATGATGATCAGTCAGCCTGGGCAGAGAAAGTAAGGATCCATAACTATCTGTTTTCTTTACTCTGATCACTGTACTCACCATAATGTGGGATTATAGCCCAGGCCATAGCAGATGCGTATATTCCTCCAATCATCCAGAACATGCAGAGCCAGCTGAGGTGCTCGCCACGCTTCTCTTGGGACAGAAATTCAGAGTAGTACGAGAAGACGATGGGAATCGAACCACCGATTCTGCAAAGTTCAGAACACAACTGAGCCTAGAGGTGAAGTGTTTGTATCAGTGATACTATTTTTGATATGTATATGTGTGTTTGAATAGATAGGCTCTTTCTTCTGTATCATATCAAGAGTCAAGCAACATACTTATGTTATTGTTTTTAAAAGTAGAGCAACTGTTTGCAAAACTTTCCAACTCGTGGCTCTCTCAGAGAATGTGCAGCAATTGCTGTTTCATTTAGCCACTAAAGCTTTAACACAACCAGTGCATTAAATGTCTCTGTGCTTGTGTGATTATCATCACCGTGGTGCAAAACAAGCTCACAGGAGCTCAGCGGGAAAGCGACTGGTTTGAGCCCAAATGGAAACGATGTCAGGCTTTCAATTTGCCAGTTCGCTAAACTTGAGAAACTCTGTTTGAACACTTTGCTACACGTTGTAAAAACTAAATGAATCATCAAAATCATTTTGTGCTCGTGCGATTTCACTGTTAAAATTACATTTGTGCAGCCGGATAAAAATTTAAAGTTTCAAAAGGGAAGGGACTAATACTGCAGTTATGGCACACCGTGCAGTGAAAAAGTAATTACTCCCTAAACCTAAGAACTGCCTGTGCCATCCTTCACAGCGAGGATGGCACTTTCACATCACTGTGGAAGAATTTTGTCCCGCTCTTATTCATTTATTTTTTAGCACATCAGAGGTGGACTTGCTGGTATGTTTCAGGTCGTTGATGCTTGAGCTTCAGGTACGAAGTTATAGCTGGACATTCTCCTTCAGGATTTTCTGGTAGAGAGAAAAATTCATGGTTCCATAAGTTGCCCTGAAGCAACAAAGCAGCCCCAGATCATCACACTATCACCACCGTGTTTGACAGTTAGTATGACGTTCTTTTTATGAAATGCTGTTTTAGTTTTATGTCAGATCTAATGGGACTCAAACCTTCCAAAACGTTCAGCTTGTAGAGTTCCTTGGAGATGCTCCCATACATGCCATTTTTGCCCAGTCTCTTTCTGGTCGTTAAATCATGATCTAGGACCTTAACTGAGGCGAGTGAAGCTTGCAGGTCTGCATTTGTTATTCTGGGACCTCCTGGATGAGTCATCGATGTGCTCTTGATAGGCCAATTTTGGTCACCTGGGCAAGTTTTCTCCATTTGTTGAAATGGCTATCACCACGTTTTACTGGAGTCCCAAAGCCTTAGAAATTGCTCTAGGCCGATAAAGGTCAGTGACTTTGCTTCTAAGCTGTTTCTTTAGATCGTATCGCATAATGTGTCCCTTTTTGAGATCTTTGAACTACACTTTGTCAGACAGGTTCAGGTTAACCCTCTAAAACCGAACCTGTCGCTTATATCAGACAGGAGTTTTGCAACTTTTTTTTTTCTGCTCTCAAATACGGACTTAGCTGTAACTCTGTCTGTGAAGCTGGACTAAAGAAATAAGTGCCTAAAGTTTTGAGAACATTTCTACCGTGGTTGGTTGGTTGTGGCTAATAGACTTAGTTTATGTTAGCTAGCTAGTGACAGAACCGATAACTCAGTGGGAAGAAGGGGACTAAATCTAAAACTCTGTTTAAGGGGAACACTTTTGAGCTGCTCCTGTCTGCAAGAAGGAGTTTAATTTTTAAACCACAGGTTTGCTTTCCACTTTCCCTGTCTGCCTCTTTAGCAGCAACTGCTGTTAGCTTGTAATGTTTGGGTTTGTGAAGCACCTTATAAATGAGGACTGTGTAGACGAGAGACTTTGAATTCATCATTTAACAAAGATGGTCCGGGTAGGTTTGGGCAGATTATTGCCCCTCAATAAATGAAATGATGATTTTTTTTTTAAGTCAACTAAATGGCACGGGCAGAAACAACAGAAGTATTTTTGTTATTATAATTATTTTAATTACCCAACACCCGAGAGGAGGCGGCAAAACAGAAAGGTGCTGTAACCCTGGACAAAGGAGGAGAAGAAGGAGAAGATACTGTTGATAGAGAGAGAGATGAGAAGAGACTGCCGACGGCCTATCCGGTCAGCCAGAGCTCCCCATAGGAAAGCGCCAACCATCATCCCAAAATATACAATAAGACCTGCAGAGAGAGCAAAGGAAATTCAATTGTCAGACTACAAAGACTTGCCGGCTCATGATAACTCTACTATATCTCAAATCAGATTGATAGTTTGATGATAAACATGCACATTTCTTTTGTTTCCCTTCTGAGGGAAAGGCTGAGAAAAGAAGAAAACATGGAAGTGCCAGTGTGAAGCTGGCTGTAAAAGCGTGTTAATCCCCACAGACTTCCTGATAAAAGATTTAACCACTGTTTCATGACTGTAATCTGAGTGACTGAAAACCTCTTAACCATGTTTGTGCTGATGATGCCTTTGGGGCCATTTTAATGCATTTATCTTTAAAATTATATGACTCTAGTGGGTAATTGTTCTAAAAGACCATCCAAATATGGTCATTTGATCTCCAAAGAATCAAGATAGTGGCAGTTATGATGCTAAACACCACACTTTAAACTGACCAACCCAGTGGGTGATGTCATGGTGCGTATGAACATCTTTCATACACGACCCCAACTCCACAAAAGGTTGGATGCGGTATAAAATGAAGATAAAAACTGAATAGCTAGTTAGGATAATTGGCTGCCGGTCAGTAACATGATTGGGTTTAAGACAAGAGGCAGAGTTTCTCAGGTTCAGAATATTGTTCCTAAATGTAAAATTGCTAAGAATTTAAATACCTCATCATGTATAGTACCAAATATATCAAACGATTTAGAGGCTGAAAATGATGCAGGATGCTTCAGGTGCTCAGGCAGAAACAATGCATGGGCTCAGGAATCATTGTCTGTGAACACAGTTCACTGCGCCATCCACAAATGCAGATTTAAACTGTTGTGTAAAGAAGAAGCCATACGTGAACATGACCCAAAGACTCAACCATCAACTTTGGGCTAAAATAATTCAAAATAAACTGAAACAAAGTAGAAAACAGTGAAATAAAATACATAAAAACATGGATTCCTCTATTCTGCATGTTTTAGAGCAGCGGTCTCCAACCTTTTTTGCGCCACGGACCGGTTTATGCCCGACAATATTTTCACGGACCGGCCTTTAAGGTGTCGCGGATAAATACAACAAAATAAAACTAGTACCAGTACCGAAAAAAAGAAGATTTATTCATAACACACGTGAAAAGACCCAGGAAAACCGAGTTAACGATTAAAAACGATAACAAAATAACGCTGAAAACCGATAAATACCCTGAAAACCATACATTTCACACCTGAGCCTCAACTCTCGCGGCCCGGTACCAAACGACTCACGGACCGGTACCGGTCCGAGGCCCGGGGGTTGGGGACCGCTGCTTTAGAGCAGTATAATATAATCTTAAACAGCACGCTGCATCTATTTCAACAGCATTGATTCATAGTAGAAGGGTCTGTGTGCTAAAGTGACCTGCCATAAAGTTCAGACCTTTCCCCAACACCAAACATTTGGTGGATCAGGAAAGAAAAATTGCGAGAAAGACGACCCACGACTGCTGAGCAGCTAGAACCCTATCTGAGACAAAAACGGGACGTTCTACTTCCAAAAATCAGCCAAGTGGACTCCTCATTTTCCTAATGTTCAATGTTTTCTCAGCTCTGTTGTGAATAAAATGTGAGTTTATGAGATTTGCAAATTATTGCATTCAGTTTTCATTTACATTTCAAACAGCATCCCAACTTCTTTGGAGTGGTGCAGTGTATGTTAAAGAGGCTAGTTTCAGTCACTCACTGTATCTTTGAAGAGCTCATTGTTGTTAAAACTATTCTTTGGAATATTTATTAAAAACTAAAACATAAAACAAAACGTTTTTTATGAAATGTTTAACATAGACGTTGCTGCATCCACCGAGCGCTCTGCCTCTCTCTCGCTTCTTTGCTGCTGCATTGCTGTGTTTCTTTTTTGCATCATTACACAACATTATCTAAATCAGTCTGGTGGCATGAAACCATTGGCAGGAACCTGTTACTGCATCACTTGTGTGTGTAAATGTTTTTCCTTAAAAAAATGAAGACCAGTCATTTTTAAAAACAAACAAACAAAAAAAGATTTTTCCCCAGAGTTGATACACATCTCACGCTCTGGTGAGTATTTCAAGTATGCTGCATGTGGGTTCGAAAGAACATGTCGCCAAGAGCAACAGTGTGACTCATTTAGTTTTTTAAATAGTTCTTGGCTGAGAAGTAAAGATCATGCCACAGAGGAATGAGTTGTAGCAAGCCTTGGATACACAGCCAAGGTTTGTTGACGGGGATTAATGTGTAGATTATTAACAGCACTGTCATGTATAAAACTGATAATAAGCCTGCTAAACATTTGCAACAGAAGGAGCAGAGTCCTACCTAGCATGCTTTTGTTGGGTTCAGACAGACACATATCCTTCTCAGCGCTGGGGAGCACAAACCCGACCACAAAGATCTCCACGCCATCAGCCATGAGTGCAAGGCCCAGGACGAAGTACAGGCTCCACTGGAACTTCCCGTGGCCACATTCTTGCAAAATGGTCTCGTACTGTTGGGCCAGCTCCTCTTGGTCCTTCCTCCTCTCAGCCTCGGACACGCCGATATCTCTGAACTGCTGAGCTCCGGCTCCCACCGATCCTGGACCCCCAGCAAGGCTACCTTTTCCTGAATCAGCCCTGGGAATTCCTTGGTACTCTCCCTCATAGATCTCGTCATCCTCATCGTGACCCTCTGTGGAGTCACTGTGGCCGCCCTCATCATCGTTCGCTGCCTGGCTGTCTCCACGGTAGTAGCCTCCATCCTGACTTCCCTGCATGGGGTAGTCATCGTCATCGTCCTCTTCAAAGCGGCTGTAGGAGCGCTTGCTGTACTCATCACTCACTCGATCAACTGAGCGACCCACTTTCTTGGTAGCTTGCCGCTTGACTTCTTTGGCAATGTCTTTGGCTCCTTTTATGAAGGCAGTCCGGTTTTGGTAGCCGTCCTCCATGTTAAAGAAGTACAGAAGACGCACAACAAGTCAAAGGTTTAGCTTGAGAGGCCACCTGTACGTGCTGTGGCTTCAGTTTGATCAGGACACCTCAGAGCTGACTCCCAATTTGCTTGAGTGGTTACAGGTTGAAGCTGTCTGCAACAAAAGCGAGAATTTACATTGGTTAAAATAACAAGTCAGGCTTGCTAACAAAAGCATCTTTAATGGAAAGATGCTTTTGTTAGCAAGGGACTCATCGGGTACTTTCAGTGCATCTATTTATGTTTCCTGTAGACCCAGAGCCAAGTCTGCTTAAGTGACAAGAAAGAAACAAAAAATGACGTGTAATGAATTCAAAGATGCTACAAAAAGACACAAAAAACACAAACTCTAGAGAGACTGGCTCACTCAGCTCAACATTAAATTCTAACAGGGCGCAGTCCAGTAACATGAACGTTTTAGAGAGGCCCTACAGAAGTTAAATGTGTCGCTTGACCCTCGTTAGACTTTTTAGGTACACCTGCGGCGATTCAAATCAAGATGGTGAAATCAAATCAAGACAAGATGGCCTGCTAAAGTTCAAACTGAGCATCAGATTGAGGAAGAAAGATGATTTAAGTGCCTCTGAATATGGCATGGTTGTTGGTGACAGACGGGCTGTTCTGAGTATTTAAAAATCTGCTGACCTGCTGGGATTTTCTCACACGACCATCTCTAGGGTTTACTGATGATGGTCTCAAAAAGAAAACAGGTAAAACTGCCTTTCTGACGTGAGCGATCAGAGTAGAGTGGCCAGACTGCTTCAAGCTGATAGGAAGGCAACAATAACTCGAATAACCACTTGTTCCAATCACACTTCAAACCTTTAAGCTGATGACCTACAGCAGCAGAGGACCACACTGGGTGCGACTGCTGTCAGCTGAGACCTGCACATTGAAACTACAATTCACACAGGCTCATTCAAAGTTAGACCGGGAAACTTTGAATGAGCCTGTGTGAATTGTAGTTTCAGAGTCTGGATTTCTGCAGCAACATTTAAATGGTAGAGTTAGAATTTGGAATAAATAACACAAAAACATGGCTCCATTCTGCCTTGCATTAATGGTTCAGGCTACTGGTGATGTAATGGTTCATGGCACATTTTTTGCCAACTGGTCTTTGTTTAAATACCATAGCCAACCTGAGGATTGTTGCTGACCAGGTCTATCCCTTTATGACTGGCACACCCTGTCACAGAGCTCAAATCATCTAAGCGAGTTCACTGTACTCAAATGGCCTCCACAGTCACCAGATCTCAATCCAGCAGAGCACCTTTGGGATGTGGTTGAACAGGAGATTCTCAGCATGATGTGCGCCGACAAATCTGCAGCAACTGTGTTTTGCTGTCACATCAATATGGACAAAAAAGGCTCTGAGGAATTAAGGCAGATTTGAAGTAAAAAACAGACCAACCAAGTGCTAGCAAGTTGTACCTAATATAGTGTTGATATGTACAAGAATATTATATGACTGAAGTCAATGAGCTTGCAGTTTCGCAGTCAGACCCGTCCCATTCTCATCACATTTCATCACCAAGACGATGACGGTAAAAACTCATCTCACAGCTTCCGAAACTGCAAGTTTTTCTATAGTCTAGAGTTAAAGCGGAAGAGGCAGCGTGAAACATTAAACAAGATCAAAGTATCAGAATTATAATAATTCTTTCTTTTTTATTTGGTTTTGCATTGCACTTAATAAATTGTCACAATCACAACCTTTTAACCTTTTTCATTTTAACAGTTTTGAATGTTTCCACAAACTGTAATGAAAAACTGCTGTTGATGCGGCGTTGTGTTTTACATCTGAGTTTCATAATCCATCTCTGCCTGTCATGTTTTTATCTTTAAACTGCTTCTCTTTTCTTTTATCCACTTATACCATCTAACCAGCCTGTAATGGTTCCCATCCAGACTACACCTGTTGCCTCTCCATATTCACTCAGTGTGCGTCCTCTGCTGAGTCACAGACAGGCCTGAGCAATAATTACAGGGTTAAACATCAGGCCTTGAAAACAGTGAATCTAATTGATTGTTCTTGGTGCACAAATGTCCTAAATGCCTCATCGTATGCTGAAGAGCTGCTCTGTGTGACTATGGCTCAAATGGATCTGACACTATTGTAGAAAAAACCTGAAATCATATAATCTCTAAATGTTCTTTATTTGAAAAAAAGGAAAACATGCAGATTGGATGGAAGCCGTGTGATAAAACAGACCAAGCTTGAAATTGAGGAAAAAGAAGCTATAAAACTGATATCTATTTTATTCTTTGCCACAGTGTCACGTTGCTTTTTGGAAAACGTGCTGTTTAAAGAACAATTTTAAAGGTTCGGTTCAGGTGGTCCGTATGCTTCTGCAGGGAGACGCTACAGGCGGGGTCACTGTGCAATAAAACCACTTGTCACTTTTAATTTATGGCGCAGCGAAAGCACGGACAGACGGTGATGAGACATCAGTGTGATGTCACTTTCTCCCAAAACGAGGTCTGACAGGTAATAACGGGCCTCACGGAGCAGTAAGTGTTTGTCAGTTGTACAGTACACATCATGTACTTCATCAAATACTGGTATATTTACATTTATTTTAATACTTCTGAACTAAACCAGTGAAATATAAATATCATTAAACTATGGCAATGGTAGATTTTTGGTTTGAGGCATAGTTTACATGTTCGTCAGCTACAGAAACCCAAACTGTGTGACGCATATAAAAGCATAAAACTCTTACAGCAAAGAGTAACAGCTTTTATTTAATTAAAAATATCTCTGTAAATCTTTGCAAGTTACTGCAAATGAATGCAAACGATTAACCAAGCTGTATATAACTGTTTTATAATAATAGCAATAATAATAATAATAATTCTTGAATGATTGCGTTCACACAAGTAATCAGAACCAGAAGCAAAACCAGGGGGTTTAAATTACTTGAGTAATGACGTCTCGCTGTAAAGCAATGAACCGAGCATTTTGAACATCTTCTTCACTTGTGGAGTTAGGTCCATAAGTTTATGGACATTTACACATAAAATATATATATATTGTTGCTTTTGCAGTCCAGCACGGGTGATGTAAACCAAACAGTCAAGATGTGGGTGTATTGGATCACCCATGTTGATATTTTTCCTGCATCATCATATTAAAGTTGGTTTAGGATCAATGTCGCAGTTGACACGTTAGCTATATTAAAAGCGTTCTTGTTTATATAAAACTCTCTTCTGAAGCAGTTGTTAAGCATCTTAAGTGTTTTTGTCATTACTTTATACAGTAGATAGTAAATATATTAGAAAGCTATATTAGCTGTTGCCAAATTTAGGTCACTCCTTTTGGTTTCTTGGTAATAGTTTTTATTAGCATTAGCTAATTTCTTAGCTAATGCTAACATCTTAGTTAATGCTAATTTCTTAGTTAATGCTAGCTGAATGCTCAAGCCATGTGATTGGTCAGCTTCAGTGTTGATCCTTAACCAACTATAATAATATATTAGTAACACCAACACAAGTGAAGACTTTTACCTTTAACTCAAGGTTTCAATGATATTGTATGAACTGTTGAGGAACCGCTGCTTTGCGTCATCAGTGGTGGTTGTGTAATGTTTTACACATCTGCTTGGCAAGTGAAAGGTCACTGGTTCAATGCTGGCATTACGAAGGGCATCAAGCATTAAAAATGCTGCGCTACCTGCTGTGATGACCGTTTTGTGACAAGGCAGTAGCTTCTTTACTCTTGATTGACTGATTCAAAATTCACTGCGGGTTAAAAATTTAAAGTTAGGTCCACCTTAAAGCATTCACTGGATTATTGTTCATTTTGACTGTAATGTGGAAAACATTTTAGAAAAAGTACACCATGTTGGATTTAGCCAGATATCGAGTTAGAGACTGAGACTTATTAGGAAAACGTTAACTGAGAGCAAAAGTTCAGTAAACAAACTTAAATGCAATTTTGGATTATTTTTGTAATGAGATTTGCCCCCTGCTGGCCACTAGAAAGCACGCAGGTTCAAGTCTTCCCTTTTCAGACCAGAATGCGTATCTTTCGTATACAGTCTGTGAATGCTCTGAGCTATTTTCATCTATGGCATTCAGTCGTCGTTGCTTATCACCAAGGACAGAGTCAGAAATCGTAGTAGGTGGCAAAAAGAAAGCTGTAAATGTAGCTTTAACCTTGATAAACGAATCAGCTCAAGATTACCATTAATTAGTGGGAAAACAAAGAAAAAAACATTTATGTTTATGCCAGCATCTGTAGCATCTGTCCTGGATGTTATAATCACACACTGTTGATTTGTTTTTTCTAAATTTCATTCAGAAGATGATTTCCCATCAGAAGGCAGCAGATCCATCAATGTCAGCATGACAAACAGATTTACTGGCACTGATCAAAGGAACCCTACCAGGCCTGGTCAGCCAGGCTAAACTGTAGGACTCTAACCTAATAATATCCTGGATGGGCGCATTCACAGCCCATAATCTCTATGCACTTTAAAAACAAGCATGCGTGCCTGTATGTCAGTATGACCAACACACTGAAATCAAGCAACAAAATCACAAAAATGCTTCACTTTATTGTGAGGCTTTTTTGCAACCGTGCTGGACCTGCGCAGATGTTTTTACTTGGTTTGACCTTTTCTCGGGACACTGAGCGTCATCAATACAACTTTATAATCACATCATTGCACAGCCTCCTGATGGAAGGAAAATGCAACACTGTTACCGATAGCATTAACCCCTTAGCAGTCCAATTAGTCCCCTAAACCATCCAATGTACCGTGGGCGGTACGTCCGACTGCTAACAGGTTAATATTGCCTCGGGTCTAATGCCTGCCGAGAGATAGAGAGATCAAAGAACTAACTAAGATGCCTATGGGAAGATTTTAAAAGATTTGCTTGGTGCTAAAAAACAAAACAAAACAAAATCCACATTAACTTCACACAAGGGGACACTTATAAAATAGTAAGGTTATGAGGATTATAGATGAGACCCCTGAAAAACTAACAGTCTGTGTAGATAAAGTCTGGATAGATAGATAGATAGATAGATAGATAGATAGATAGATAGATAGATAGATAGATAGATAGATAGATAGATAGATAGATAGATAGATAGAT